TATATTGTTACAAAAGATTTATATTTTGAATAAATGCGATTTACGAGTGCTATTTTTGTCCTGAATAGAACGAGTGCAACAGTTTAATAACTAATAATAATTAATATTGTGTTATATTTTAGACACAATATTGTCTGTTTTTGCTCAGTTTTGCCAACACAGATATTACCTATTAAAGCCACAGCAGAACTGTGCATCTCCAAGCAACACAATTTCTGAAGTTAAATTCATGATAATTTGCTTGGAAAAAAGGAGAATAAAAAAAATATATATATTTTTATTTTTATTTTATTTATTTATTTTTAAGTATAATGTCTACACTTAAGTGATTAGGGCAGATGTTGTGAACACAACACAACACTTTTTAATAATGAGAAACAACTGAAAATGTATTTCTCATTAAACTTAATTTCTTATAATTACTAGATTATATCTTGCTGTAAAACTTAATATCTCACAATTACGGTTTTATTGCTCATAATTGTGGCTTTATATCTCACAATTCAAAACTCTATTTGGGGTCAGGAAGTTTTTTTTTTTTTCCGAAGAAATTAATTATTTTATTCAGCAAGGATGCATTAAATTGATCAAAAGGGACTGCAACGAGTTTTACAATCTTGCAAAACATTATATTTGAAATGAATGTTGTTCTTTTGAACTTTCTATTCATCAAAGAGTCATGTCACATGAGCAATGAATACAATATCACGAGTGCTGTTTTTATCCCAAATAGCAAAAACAGAGTGCAAATGCGATACTGATTTTATACAACAGTTCAATAAGAACTTATAATGTTGTATATTTTAGACACAATACTGTCTGTTTAGCCTCAGTTTTGACAAAGCAAATATTACCTATTAAAGCCACAGCAGAACTGTTGTGCATCTCCAAGCAACACACAATTTCTGAATGAATCCGCGTTTTGAACGAATCGAGTGAACCAATGATTCAACGGCCCATTCATAAAGAGAGCCATTTATTTATCCTGAATGAATCAGCCATTTTAACGAATCGAATGAATTAATTAATTAATTAATGACTTACTCATTAAGACATTTACTGCTACCTACTGGCAGTTTTAGTTTCTTATTTAGAGATGTATTATTTAGAAACATGCAGAACATTCGTATTTAAATCGTCTTTTTGCAGTTTAAAATTCACAGACACAGTCTATATATATGTACCGACCTGTTTTTTTATTTATGAATAAATGAATTAATGACTTACTCATTAAGACATTTACTGCTACCTACTGGCAGTTTTAGTTTCTTATTTAGAGATGTATTATTTAGATTCTTATTTAGAGATTTCATTAAAAAATTATTTCATATTTACATATTAATAAAAAAAATCCATATTAATAATAATTAAAAAAAAATAACTAGGGATAGTTCACCCCCCCAAAAAAATAAAAATCTTCCTAAAGCCAATTTATGTGATGGCTTTAAATTATCCTTTGTGGGTAATTTCTCAGCCAAGTTTGATGTGCGATTAATAATTAATATGCAGTTAATTCGATTAGTAAATTGCCACATTGTGTAATTAATTAGATTAAAGCTTTTAATTGACTATATATATATATATATATAGGGCTGTCAGTCATTTAAAACAAATTATTTTTATATATGATTCAGAAATATCTTTAATGTCTTTTCAGGCAAAGCAATTTACACAGACATTTGTGTTTTTTTACATGATAAAACAGTACCTCAGGGGTGTCCAATCCAGCCCCTGGAGGGCTACTGTCCTGAAGATTGCTCCATTACACTTGCCTGGAAGCCCAGAGTTTAGCTCCAACCCGAATTAGACACACCTGAACAAGCTAATCAAGCTCTTACTAGGCATGCTAGAAACTTCCCGGCAGGTGTGTTGAGGCAAGTTGGAGCTAAACTCTGCAGGACACCGGCCCTCCAGGACCGAGTTTGGGCACCCCTGTGTGAGTCATGAAGGCCTTGATTAGCTGGTTCAGGTGTGTTTAATTAGGGTTAAAGCTAAACTCTGCTGGATAGAGTTTTGGACACCCCTGCAATACATACACTATTCAAAAAGTATTAGGGCCCTTTCTGTTGCCAAACATTAGTGGAACTAATTCATATGTGATGAACTACATTTGTGATTATTCTGCTAGGACACCTATGTGATTTTGATGGAAACTGATTTTATATGTCCATTAAAAATCATTTTAGGACAAGTGTAGTGTCCTAATACTTTAGGCCAGGGGTCACCAAACTCGGTCCTGGAGGGCCGGTGTCCTGTAGAGTTTAGCTCCAACTTGCCTCAACACACCTGCTTGGAAGTTTCAAGTATACCAGACCTTGGCTGTGTTCGAAATGGCATACTAACATACTGCTTACTGTCTACTGCCCAGTATACAGTGTATACTGCCTACTATTTTTAAAGAATAGTGTGTGAAACAGTAAACAATAAGCAACAAAATGTTTCAGAGTAGTATGCTACAGTGTTGTCACATGACAAACACTGAACCTTAATTCAGCTCAGCTGTCGAGGCTGTTACCTTACAAATAAATGTACAAGCCATTCTTTTTTACAAAGGCTTGTTAATAAGGGTTCATACTAGTAAACAATGCTATATTTCCCAATTAAACTTATTTCATAATTAATTAACATTACATATTAAACAGAGCTGAATCAACACTGAACTGTCTTTAACTGAACAACGATATTGTTTTATTTTTGGCAATTACACTATAAGTGCAAACAATGATACATTTTGTTTACTCTAAAATAGCATTTTCTTCAGGCAAAGTGTAAATAGTAGGTGGCAGATTTATACTTCAGTACTGTAGTAGCCTACATTATAAAACAGTAGCCTATGCAATAACATATTGAGTGTAAATTATCATATGTATTAATATTATTAAATGGAAGCCGCCTTATTGGGACAATAAAGCTCTCCACCTAACCATACCAAATAACACTGTATTCGTTGTGAGGTATTTTATTTCCACTTTTCAAATATTTCCATTTTTATTGAAAGTAAATGCCTTTCCGATCTGATATGTGATGGGAAAAGGAGAAGAACGAGTTTGGCAAAAGGGATTCGAACACGCGTAGAGCGTATCAATTATTTCGCGTTTTACTCGCTTCGCCAATGAAGCTTCGTTTCTATTTAGAGCTGCTTTACAGCGGAATTAAATTATTTTTGCATAATTTAAATATATATATCTTTTTTTATTATTTATATATTACGGCAACATTATTATTATTATTTAATATCTTTGAAACAACCTGTACTGTATAAAGCGCTATAGATTAAAGGTTACGTCATTTGACTTGATCGGAAACGTGCCTTAGAGATTAAGGTAATCTATGTCCTACTAACGATATTGTTTTTATACAGAGCAATAGTTTGTAGTTTACAGTAACGTATATAATTACTATCCCCCGCCTCCAGTTCATTCACGCATTTGAAGATGAAATGTCATGTGGAGCGCGTTGCGTTGTGGGAAACAGTATCCCATGCAGTGTCTTCAGATGCATACATCAAATTTCAGCAAATGTAGCACGTATTCCGGGAATTCCATGCATACAGAAAATGCACACACTATTCACAGTATACTATACTAATAGCACACTTGAATAAACTTCTTTTTCGTAAGGGATTGCGTACTGCAATACAGTAGGAGTTGTATGGTAGTAGCCTATGCCATTCCAAACACAGCTTCTGTACTGATTTCAGTGTACTTGAGTTATATTTAGCAGATTCTGACAAATATAGTAGGTTATCCGGGTATTCCATGCACACAGAAAGTTTGCATACTATGCAAAGTACATACTGCATACTGCAGACATAGTAAGACTAGTATGATAGTATGGCATTTTGAACAAAGCACTTGGTGTTGAATAAAGTGTTTGATTAGGGTTGGAGCTAAACTCTGCAGGACACCCCTGCTTTAGGCAATCTGTTAATGCTTAAGGTGTTATTTGCTTTTAAATTAGTGTGGATATTATGCCAGGGTTGTATGTGCTGTATCCCAAAACTACATGTTTACTGTTACCATACTCTGGAGCAAGTCATTTAAATTTTCCCAATACTGCAAATCATTTTGGTTGAATGCCCTGATAAAATAAATATTTCAAACGCAATGTAATGTTTACAACATTTAGGGATCATTCATTCATTCATTTATATAGTTATTTATTTACATATGCAAACATTAACTCCCTCCCTGTAGGTTTATTTATTTATTTTTTTTGGTATAGAAAATTCTTAGTGCGTCTTAGCGTTCGCGTTTCCTGTGTGCGTGTGTATTTGCATTCTCATGCGTGTTCCCACAGGACTCTCCCACTGCCTCATTAAGCCGCGTCAGTGATCTTTTCATTAACTTTTCCGTTTAATTAGGTCGCAAGAACTATGTCCATCACCAAAAAAACGGCACTTCGGAGTGTAAGGGCAAAAAGGGCATGTGCTCTGCACAGGTTGAGTCCTACCTGTGCACGTGCCTATTGTCATATGTCACGGCAATAGACAAGATTCGCTGTGATCTGAGCGTCGACAGACTAGATTTCTTAATGCTGAAAATATCAGTGCGCATGCCCATGACAGTAACATAGTGTATCAATTAGAATGATTAGAAACCCGTTAAAATGTGTTTTTAGAATGGATTTTACGGAACTTTCATTACTTTTTGAGTTTAGTATCTGGGCAGTTATGTCTGTTCAGGACCATGGAGACTTCCCCAAATACTTCCAGTGTTCCAGAAAACTCCAACGGCTTTTGATATGTAAAGAGGTCCTGTACACAGCCGCTCACATCCGAGACTCGTCATTTAGATCTGCTGAAGAGATATGATGTTAAATGTATGATTAATATGGATATTCACTCACGTAAAGAAGATATCTGAGGGGGATTCCTGACAGAAAAGGCTATATTTGTCTTGGTACGTCTTTAAATGGCGTGTTTAATGTAAGTGGTGGGCGGAGCCGCGAAGCTCGCGAGCACAGGACTGGCTCCAGCACCTCAGTCGAGTGGAGGACAGCGAGCTCTGGATACGCGGATTATCCCACTACACTGGATTTGACCTCAGCATCACTCCACCGCGCTCCATCACTCGAAATGTGGATTTAAGGTGTTTTGAGAACATTTGTAGAATAAACCGGATTCTCCACCGGTGGAGTACAATCTGCATCATATAAGGTAAATCAGAACTACTTTAAGAGATTTAGAGAGTTTCACACATGCGTTTAGTCATTAAATCACATTACTCCTGTTATACTACCATGTTTCTGCCGTTTGAGTATTTATAAATATATATTATTAAACACATATCGTTCGTGCATTTTCTCTGGGATGGCTAGATTCTTCTAATGCAAAAGCTTGCAATTTAAATTCGAAATATAATTATAATTTTTTTTTACAGCATGAAAGAGATTGAAACATTCTTAAATATTGTATCCCAATAATCTTATGTCATAAACATTTCTGAAATATTTAATGGATGTTTGAGATCTACTGTCATTGCTGAGGAGGGTACTGAAGGATGCAAGATGCAAGAAGCAGTCTGAACATGATCACCTCTCTCTCTCTCTCTCTCTCTCTCTCTCTCCCTCTCTCTCTCT